GGGAAATACCATATAGATAGTGTTTCTAGGATTTCAGCAACTTGTTTCTAGCACTGGATTTCATAGACTGCGCATCGAATTCATATGAGATTCTGCTTCAGCACCTTTGTTCTTTTAGGACTGTGTCTAGTAGGTTATATCCATTTTGAATTGTAATGTTTCTTAGTTTTTGCATAATTTTATGATTGCAGATAGCATCTCTCTGGAAGTGATACGTAGACACCCAGAGATGAAGCAGAGCATCTTGAGATTTCATCAATCTTTCGAAGTGCATCATTTTCTATTGGCAGGCAAGACACAACTCGGTGAACTAAAATATCTTGATAAAAGGGGCACGATTCTCTGAATAAATGGGTTGTTCTTTATTTCGAATAATTGGGAATTAAATCATAACAGGACAATATTATTACTTGACTAAACACTTCATGGAATCCATAATTTTAATTAACTTGTCAAACAATCCCTAAAGAAGATATAGATCAATTCAAGTAATTCAGTACTAACTATCATCTTCTTTCAAAAACTAAAATCATGTACAGTATTGTGTATCATATGAACATGGGCTAATCAGCTCCTAGCACAGCCCCTTCAATTTGGATTGTGGTCTGTGATCTAGAGGCAAGCCCGCGCCCAAAGCCCAAGGTCCTCAGTCGAGTATTGTTAGGCCTTAGGTATGGGCTGGACGAAATCGTCATATTTAGAAGATGAGCTATCCAGTTAATGGATTTTATTATTGGTATGTCAATAATAATTTTCTATTGCTATGTACATCTAAGCAGCACAAAACATGACGTGCAATAATAATGGAGAACGCACAATAATGAGATGCGCTAAAATAAATTCCACAACATATACACAGAAGCAAACCAACGTAACTCTGACCAATCGACAACCCCAAAGTTCAAAGATCACGACGATGCACTGCTTGACTTAAGCCATCCAACATCACACGTCGCTACTTATACAGAGAGGCCATATGTTTAAGGAGAGCAGCATAAATGGGTTCATAAACTTTAAAATCGTCCTGCTTGCTAGATCTTATCGAGCTTCTCGGCTTTAACAGTAGGATTTCCTTTGGCTATAACATCCCGAGCAGCCATCTGGTAATCAAATGAACAATCGTGCTTGTCAGAGTAACGATGAACTGAACAGAAGAGATTGCCACACCTGCAATTGAAACCTGTTAAACCCACGCGCTTATGGCAAGTGGTGCACCTGTTTGGGCCGTCTTTCGTCTCTACTTTTGAACTCTGACCTGAATATAAATCAGATGACGTGTGTTTGGATGACGTCTTCAACTGCACTGCTCCAGCTTGCACATCCATTGCATCAGATATGACAGGCTCTTTCACATTACTGCCTGAGCTGCCATTAATCAAGTTCTCAATGGAAGAATCTGCAAGTTTGGTGTGTTGCTGTTTCATAATCGTGTCTTTGTGGCACTTGGAGCACATATTCATGGTAGCTGCAGTTCCGAAGAAGCCACAGTTGTTGATGCAAAGAACGGGGCCTTCTGGCACATGGCAGCCAGTCTCTTTCGAAGACTCCATTAATGCAAATATTCTATCATTCGCCAGAATACAGAACGGCAAATATATGTGAAAAGATGAAACAAGTAAATAGCATGGTGGTTATGTAAGAGTTTTCTATAGCCGAGTTTGCTAACAGTAAACGAGACTTCACTCCCTGTACATTTGTTGTAAATTCCACAATTCGACTTGTCCAATTGTTCCTTTACAAACTTACTAAATAAAGGACAATAAACAATTTTGCAAACTAGGGGGGTTTTGCAAATAATGCAAGCATCCTTAGAAGTTTTGTAAGAATACAAAATTTAGATACTTAAGTAGGGATGACTGATGAGGTTCAGGAAGGGAGCTACTCATTAGTATTGAACACATGATAATAAAATAGTTGTTCGACCAGCTAATAATCAAATTATTGGTAAAGTGTAAGCATTACAGCATTTATCCATCCATAGTATCGAATTATTTCTCCATTGTGTTAATCTTACCAAATATTTCAATTTCAGCATCTTATAAAGTAAAATATAGAAGGATTCTTTCCAATTCATTTGATTTGCAACAAAACCAGATAAGCACGTTTGGTTGTGCTTATACTTACGCTAACCTTACTTTTAAATTTCTTAATTTGTTAAAAAAGTGATTTTCAAAGCTACCTTTTGGATTAACAGAACCTACTTATCTAAAAAGTAAATCTTAACTCGTAGAAAAATAAATTTTAATCAAAGCCTAACAAATTAACAGTCAAGATGCTCCAAATATTGCTTAAAGTTAACACTGTAATGCTTTTAATGAACATAAAAATTGAAGAATTCCCAAAAAAGGGCAAGCTTACAAGGTCAAAATTTAAAAAATAAAAAATAAAAAATAAATTCTGGCGCGCGATTCTCTCAATTATTCGGCAAAATTCAAACTTTCCACTTTTGAAAATCCTTTTTCTCCAAAATCCAAATATTACAGTCCCATACTTGTTAACAATTAGAATTAACTTTGCTCAATTTAGGAAAAACTCAATATAAAAATATCCATATAAGTATTAAGAAAAGTTGAAACTCGACTAAACTATTCCCACGAGTATATGAACATCAAAACCAATCTTAAAAAAAAATAAAAATAGAAATAGAAATGAAAATCTAAAGAAAAACTTACCAGTAAATCGGAAAATGAAGAGCTTTTAGGCCGATCGCTCGCAAAATCGACGCAGAATTTTAGAGTATTTCCTGAACCACCAAAAAACAAAAAGGAAAAACGATTCAAGTTTTATACCAAAATAAAACAAAAAAATAGCACAAATCATTATAACAGATTCGAATTATATGAGAAAAACTAAAAAATAATCATTAATAATACCTTAACTTAAGAGTTAAGAAATAATTGGAGTAATATGAGAGGCGAAGAGAAAAGGTATCAAGGTAAAGCTGCGTGCGGTGATTGCGTTAGTTGGGTGGGGAAAGATTCTGAAACATTTTGAGTTAAACGACATGGTTGGCCAAATTTAAAAGTTATTATTTCTGTTATATTTGAATAAAATTATTTTTACATAAATAATTGTTTATTACCACAACTCAAAATATTTTTTAAGCTTGGCCATGTTCTAAAAATTGTATAAACCTTTCCAAATATTTATTTTCCTTGATACGTCCTTCATTTATTTATTTTTTATTAAACAATATATTATACTTCAACTACTTTTATAACAATAAAAATAAAGAAAGTCTAACCCGCACAAAAGAATTTTTCCATTAGTTTACTTTTTACTTTCACAATTAGAGAAGAGGGCTAATTGAAGGGACTATATTGGATATAGAAAGAAGTTGTTACGCCATCTAACTAAGACTTTTTTCTTTTTTTTTTTTGTCGTTGACCATGACTGATAATAGTTGAGAAAATCACGATCGTCAAAATGAGTTCCTCCGTTTTGGTGACCTGAATGAAAGGAGTCTTTTAGTGATCACTTTGCACCCTTTTTTTCATGTCATCGAAGTGGATTGCTCCCCACCCGCTTTTTAAGGTCATCGGAATGGATGGACTCATTCCGAGATTGTGTTTTTTTCAACAAAATAAAAAAGACTTGTTTTCGAGTTGACAAGTAATAAAATCTGCCAAAATCATAATTTAAAGATATATATATATATATAACCTCTTACGCAAGCACAATTGGGCAGGTGGACAGCTAGAGTTTGATTGAGATGTGCAGCCTACCTGTTTTTGAACGTTTTTATGGATCCCACAAGAACATGGATCTGTCACTTTTCTGTCTGTTACAGCTCATAGAAATGGCAAATTTTGGAACCTCAGCAACTTACATTTGGATTGCCACGCCCCTGGTAATTAACATAAGGAGAATCTTGAATTTTACTTATTAATCAAAACTATATCGTAATCACAAATCAACTAGAAAAATCCTAGTAAATTCATATGCTAACGAAGGAAAGGGCCCTGTTTGTCTCCTTATTTATATAAAAAAAAAAAAAAATCTTTTTTTTTCCCTCATGTAAACCCTTTTTTTTTTTTTTTTAACCATACATTTTTCAAAACAATTAAGATAAAGAGGAGTTGATATTTATTATTCAATTTTGTTGTTCAATTGATTGTCTAATCAATTTATTATTAATATGTCATCAATTTAGTAGATTAGAGTATCTCCAAAAAACTCTCTATTTATAAAGGACATTTTATGCATAATAAAGAGTATTTTTAAATTTAGAAAGTTATTTTTTTTTGATACACTCAAACAAGCTTTCTATTTTGATCCTTTATTTTATTTTTCTAATAAATATTTAATAATTTCTTCACATATTTTATTTAAATATAATTTTTTATATATTAGTGACCAATCAATTCAAATGTAATTTGAAAAATTTAAATTTTAGAGTATTGAAATTTGTAAACATATCAAATGCAATTATTGTATATTGAAAATAGAGAGCGAGTTTGACTCTCTAAATTTGAAGAGACAAATTAACGCTTTAATTTAGAGAGTGAATTTCATGTTCTATAATTAAATGTATTCAAAATATTTCAATTTTCAATGCAAGAAAATAATAAAATAATCTAGAGAAAAAGTTAGTTAAAATAAAAATAATAAATAGTTTTTGAGAGTAATAAAATTAAATATTAAATATAAAAAATTTATTGGAGTACTTCAAAATTTTAATACTCTAAATTTATAAATATTTTTCAAATGATAGAATATACTTTTTAAAAATAGACCATTCTTAATAGTGAAGTTATTGAAGGTAAATTTAAAATGATATATTAATTATTGATGATATGTTAATAATTAATTGATTTGCCGACCAATTGAATAGAAGATCTCAAACTCTATGAACAGAGGCCAGGAAAAACGAAGTCATCAGACGGTACAGCGTATGTCCAGTTAAGAGAAGACACGTTTGCAATTCCATTCACATACGACGCCGTTACCAGCATATCAAATCAATTCCGCGTTTCATATTCAAATTCTGACCTGTGATCCATACGTTCTAACCAATTGTATCTCTGTCACCAGCTGTCAATGGACCCCACTACCCCTCTATAAAACAACACTGGAAACGGCTTTCAATACCACAAATTACTTATTCTCTGTCTGTCTATTTCTCCATACAATTTCTGTTTCTAGTTTTGCTTACAAATTCAATCAATACAATGGCACAAATGTCTTTCCTGCTGGCCTACGCCATCGTCGCTCTATCCGCCGTGGCTGTTACTGTCTCTGCTCAGGCACCGGCCCCGTCTCCTGATGTCGGAGATGCATTCTCTTTACCAGTCTCCAGCGCCGTCATTGGAACATCTATTTTGTTCTCCCTTTTCGCTCTTTTGAGGCACTGAGTTCTTTTATTTCCTTCTGTATTTTCTGTTCTTCTTTTGATTTTGGGTTTTCGGGTATGGATTTGTTATGATATGATCACGTGAGTTTTATGGATTGTTGTTATTATTATATATTTATTTTCGGGTTGGATTTATTGTATTCTTTTGTATGCACATAATATTGTGAGGAAATAAATTTCATTTATATTTATCAATTGAGGCTGTTTATTTTCTTTTGTATGCACATAATATAGTATGTCAAACTTGATAATAAGGATCACTTACAATCTTACATCATCGAAAAGCACACAAATTCTTTCTCGATTAATTTTACCACATCTTTCCACTCGAAAATTTAAGCAATCAATGACATTCAATCATATACAAAATTTACCATGAGTTAGAATGACCATGAAATGTCAAGCTCCACGAATACCGAAGGACTACCATGGCACAATCAAGTGCACAAACAAAATGGAAGGAATCGTCGTTGTTAAGAGAATAAATCCCACATCGATCAAATACCGAAATATTGACCAACTTAAATAGGTCTTGCCTTATTAAGATGGATCCCAAATCTTAATATGATATCAGAGCCCAGTAAACTCTAACGAGCTATTTGATCCGATTAAGTCTAAAGAATGAGCACACGGATTTCAAAATTGTTCTGCTCAAAAAGAGCCACCATCTTGCGGGAGCATGTTAAGGGAATAAATCCCACATCGGTTAAATACCGAAATATTGACCAACTTAAATAGATCTTGGGTCACTCCTCTTAATAAGGTTGACCTTATTAAGATAGACCCCAAATCTTAATAGTCATGATAAATGATGATGCTCCAGCAGCTCCACCAACCCCATCAAACTTCAAGATCACTATCACGACCTTACAGAACCGAACACAAAAAAATTTCAAGTCAGTTGAATCCATTAATTATCACTAGGATTCGTATTCGAATAATGTCACTTACCTAAAACTAAAAGCCAAATGACACTATGCAATGTTCAACAACTCACAACCAATTCTGTCTCTAATTGCATTCAATCAGTCAAAAGACATTTGTATAACTCTTTAAGAAAGTTCACCTTAACAAATTGACACTTGGGCTGCACAAAGGTTTTCCCTACAAGTCAAACGAGCTACTTAGTGATAATTGACAAATAACCTTCAACCATTTATTCATATGAAAAATTTAAGATGGTGTGCCAAACTTAATATTCATTGCACTGAATGTTTCATAATTATGGATCACATATCAACACAATATTACACGTTTATCATGCTCTATATACAATTTTACATCTAGAAATACTCTTAATTCTCTTCGTTTACTTTACCACATCTTTCCTCTCAAGTAATAAGCAAATGGCAACACTCAATCATCCCGAGCTAGAATAATCTTGAAATTGCTAAGCTACATGAAAGAAAATACAGAAGAGGATTAAGTATAAACAAAAATTGATGATTTAAAAAAAAATAAAAATGGGGTTGCCAAAAATGTATATCCCCTCTTGAGCACCCAAATGCAGTATTACGGAAATGGTCGGGTCCATTTCGCCAAAATTCATCCATCCTTGAGAATGAATGCCTTAAGAAATGTAACAAGAAAATTCATAAATTTAAACTAGCAGAAAGATAAATTCGTGAAAAAGGTTTTCATTTTAAACTGGCAACGAGTCAATCACATTTATTTCTTAAAACATCTACTCTATAACACAAGTTTCCATGATTCATGCAAGGGCTTTCCAAAACGAAAATCAGAATTTAAAAATTATACCCCAGAAAATTGGCAGAGAAAATTAATCAGATTGGACTGACTCCATCTTGAACAGTTTAAGGGCTTGTTGGTGAGCCCATGACTCGATGGTAAGATCCAGCTTATAACACCCCCAATTTTCATAAATTTTGAAGTGTTATTAAAAATTCAATTTTCCTTGTATTAATGGCGGAACGGTAAAATAAAATTCTTTAATAAAAAAATAATTGGAACATTCGTAAATTTAAACTAAATCATGTAAATCGTATATTAAAAGTAAACATAGTCAACTAACTCATAAATAGACACGTTCTTGAACATAAATGAAAATTAATTAATCAATTGAAAGACAAAAAATTTAATGCTTTTCATTTTTCGAATTCTCTTCGCAGTCCTCATCACCATCTCACCACAGTTTCCATCAATTTGAACTAACTTGAAAAATTATTGTAAGGGCGAATATTTAAAAATACTTAGTAAGATGAATGCAATTTTCATAGACATTTATATTACAATAAAATAAACACTTCAAAAACTATATCAATGACCATGCGAAACACCCATCAATAATATTTTGAATTCTCGAAGGATTTTACATTTTATTAAAAATAACCTAATAGAGTTCGCATTTTGTTAAGTCGAACTTGAAGGTCCACTGCAATTCATACATAAATTACTAAATATAAAAGTGTACGGAAAAAATCATTTACACAAAAGTATCTTACCTAAATTTTGAAATGTTGAAAATCTAGTACATAACAATTCTTCTATTATTTTTTATATTTTTTCCTCTCCCTCTCAATATCTTTACCATGGCTCTCTTTATTTTTTGTGTTGAAATAATAAAAATTATTGCAGTATTGTTTCGCGCGGGTAGTCGCTAACAATTAAAAAAGGGGTCAGACGATTGTATAAGGAACAGACCGCTTGAAAT